CCATTGATGAATATTCTTTACCTGGCAGAAACGAAAGCCCTGGTAAAATAAAGGTAAGACAATTTTACATCAATGTCTTTTTGTAGTCAGCCAACTCTGTCACTCAACATTAGATTAGATAAATCAGAATGAGCAGTTTTCATTCTAAAGCCTTGTTGGTTGATATTCAGTAATCTCTTGTTTTAAAAATGTTTATTAATTGGTTTGATTACTGCTTTCAAGTATAAGATTTTATATATATCCAAGACAATATATCCAGATTTTATATATATATAGAGTTCAGTTCACATAGTTTTACTTATTGTGTTTTAAGGTGCTTTCACCCTGGTTGAGTTTCTTGACAAAATTATTATGTAATTTCTTCTAATAAAAGTAGGAGTACTTTCAAAATTTCCTTATGAAGTTACATTTATGGAACACTTGGCAAGCAAAAGCTAACTATATTTTTAATGTTTCAAACTTAACCATCTTAATAGAAATAAAGTGTGCAAACATCTATTTCTATCTTTATAATCAAGGTGTGCTATTATCTGGTGTTCTGTATATCGTCTCACATTTTCCCTTGTGGCAAGGTAGTATTTTGTAGTTTTTAAGAAGCTATATAAGCAGGCATGTTTTCAATGATGCATTGTGACCACTGAATAATCAACTCCTTCACTAATCTGATTAGTAGAAAAATATGCAGGGCACATAACCTTTCTGTGGCAGATTTCATCTTCAGTTTTCTGAAGATGGCCACAGCAGTGTGTATCTCATTCTACCTGATCTCCTTCTGGTGTGATGCTGCTATTCTCCTATTGAGTAGTGATCCCTCCCCTTGAACTCAGACAAACCTTTGTAACTGCCTTGACTAACGAAGTGGTGGGAGTGAGCTTGGCATATAAAAGGCAATATGTCGATCCGCTTCTCTCTGTCTCTGTCTCTCTCTGCATTTGCTTTTGAAACCCAGCCACCATGTTGTGAGGAAGCCCAAACAAGGAGAGAACACACATAAAAATCCCAACCGACAGCCTCATCTGAGATTCCAGCTAACGGCCCATATCAACCACTAGACAAGCCTCCAGAGCAAATCCTTGTAGGACTTTCTGTGATCATGGCAATTTCCTGTTTGTGCTGTCTTAATGTGATAACTTACCACACATAAGTCTGAGGGAGTAAATTTCAAATTTTATTGAATGTTAGATAATTTAAATTTAAAAACTACATCTGGCTAATGGCTGCCACATTGGATAGTTTATCTTCCCAGCCTTTGAGTCTTCCAGCTGAAGCAACATCATGGAGCAGAAACAGACCATTCCTACTGTGCCCTCCCTGTATTCCCAGCTCTTGTAAACCATGAGAGATAATAAATAAATATGGTTGGTTTAAGTCTCTCAGTTTTAGGGTTAGTGTGACACAGCAATCCATAACAAATACACACTTTCTATGGTTTATTCCCCATGATTGTTTTTATGTTCTCTACAGCAAATAAAAGTACACAGATATCTTCCATGTTTTAGAAGCCCTCTGGCAATGGTTACATGTGTCTTCTTTTTACAACCAGTTTTTAAATGAGTCGTCTACAGTTACAGTCTTTACTCACAACTTCTTCATTAGTCAACACCCACTAGGCTCTGGAAACAAATGAGGTCACAGTGACATTAGTTTAAGCTTGTTTCTCCCACTTGGAAAATGCAGGACTTCAGTACCCCACCCTGCATTTATGTTCTCCCCTACTTATTTCTGAGTGAAGCCCACTTTGGCACAAAAAATCACCCTCCTCCTGGCTGACAAATTACAAAAAACAAAAACCAATCAAACAAACAAAACAAAACATCTCTTTTTTTGAGTGGATTAGACAAAGATACCCCTTTTAGAAAAAGGAACTTCTTCTGAAGGGCTGATGCAGTCCTCAGCCAGGGTTCATGGCTTCACAAGTAGAGCGCGGGCAGGGTGTCAGCACCTTGGTGCTTCCCTCAGTCAGGTGTCCTTGTGCAGGGTGCCAGCAGCATAGGCAGTACAACTGTATGCAGTAGCTGTGCTTCTGGGATGCTCAGAAACTTCTCACTTACATCCATTAACTTTCCTCTCATGGGCGGTTCTGGTCTCCTTGTGGATGCCACTGGCCCATGAAACCTTTGGAGGGTGGTATCTTGTGAAATATCCTGGATGTTGACACCTTTTGCAGCCCAGAGTGCCCCCCCCCCAAAAAAAAACTGCAGAATCCTTGGAATCCTGAAATGAAGCTGTTTTCCCATTCCTTCCTGCACCAGAGCTGTGCCATGATCCTCAATGAAACATAGAGAATGAACTGTCTGCCCCAATGTGTGGCACAGAGGCTACCATGAAAACAGCTCTCTCAGCTGGCATCCTTGTGTATTTCTTTTCATAGGGTTCAGCATCAATAAGAGGATCGGGGCCCAGAAACAGTGTGTCACTCTCTATGTACACACTCTTTCCTTTCTGCACAACTCCTAGCATCAATGTGTAAACTTCCCTCTCACTATCCCCTTCCCCTTCATGAAATTAGCCTGCCTTCAGCCCTCAAACATCATCTGGGGAATGCCAAAGTAACTTTATGATAGCAAAGTAAGTAAAACCCCCAAATGCTATTTTTGTTCAAATTTACCAGACATCTGGGTGCAGAATGTGCTTTAGGGCTTCAATGTCCTATAACACACTACCTCTATTGCACAAGTGAGAAAATATTTGCATGACACCAGAGGTGGGATAGGTCACCTTCTCTCTCCCTTGTGCTCTGAAGGGCTGTTTTCATTCTCAGAAGGCCTGAAACTTGGCAAACATGTTATATCTGAAGACATGCAAAAGTTAGACAGGTTACATCAGGATTTGACTACAGTAGACCCTTGAACATCGCTGGGGTTAGGAGCAGCAGCCCCCTTACAGTTGAAAATCCATGTATAACTTTTGACTCCCCTAAAACTTAACTATTAATAGCTTTCTATTGGCCAAATGCTTTACTGACAACATAAACAGCTGATGAACACATATTTTGTGTGTTATACAGTGAGTTCTGACCAGAAGGTATCCAGCCATGTACTATGAAAAACAGAGACAATTATTGAAGAAATACAAGATACAAGGAATATTGTTACATAGGACAATGACGCCTCAGTTCCTTTCAAAGTAGGCACCTTGGGACCTCACACACTCCCAATTGCCATCAGCAGCCCCATTGTATTATCATGAATCCTATTAGACAGCCTGAAATCTCTTCCCTTTCAAAGATGATTTTAGTTTTGGTAAAAGCCAGAAGTTGCAGGGTGCCAAATCTGGGCTGTAGTGGGGCTGAATCACCTGAGTGATTTGATCTTTCATCAAAGAACTCTGCACGAGACGTGATGCATGAGTGGGTGCGTTGTTGTGATGAAGCTGCCAATTACCAGTTGCCTATAGCTGCAGCCTTTTGAATCATCTGAATAGTTTCCATGGAAGGTTGTTCAAGCTTAATACAAAATTGGTTGCAGATTTGTTGCTCCACTCACTCAGTCATTTCGAGTGCGACGGCCACATAGTACACATGTTCACTCAAGGGCATCTACCACCCCTACTAACTGGTATAGTGAAGTCATCATTACTCACGCATGCACATTCCAGTCCACTTTCCTTGGCTGCCAGGTTACAATGTCAAGCAAACTGTTCTGGTTATATCAACAATGGTTGGACTTTTTCTGGACAGACCTCATATTATTTATTGTATTCTTACAATAAAGTGAGCTAGAGAAAACATTATTAAGAAAATCATAAGGTCCATCTGATAATTTTTTCAAATTGTCAAAACTCTCCAAAAAAGTTTTCTAATATACTTATTTAAAAAAAATATTTAGATGAGTGGACCTGAACAGTTCTAACCTTACTGTTCAGGAGTTAACTGTATTTGCAGTTCACATTGGGGGTAGCTACATGGTTCAATATGTGATACAGTATTGTCCAGAAAGAAAGGTCCAATTTACAATGAGGGGCTTTGACATATTTGGAAAACTCCAAAGTAGTACTAATTTTGTTACGGTACGACTATAGTAAAAGTATTATGAATTCTAGTAACTAAATCCAAATTTTTTCAATAAAACATACCACACAATCTTTTCCCCTCTACTTATCAGTTTTGGAACACAAACTTAATGAATTCAGTGGTTATTAATTAGGTAATAAGCTTTTATATTTTTGGTGTAGGTCGAATAAACTCAGTGGTATTAAATAGACTAGATTTTGCAAGAGAAGAGGAAATGCTCTTTTTCCCAAGATGACATTCTTGGATATCACTTTCAAAATATTATCTGATAGAAAAGTATTGCAAGAATCTAAATTTCTTGTTTATTTAATGATTTTTTCTTTTTCAGCATTAACTAGTGCAAGTTCTCAAAATCTTGTGTAGTTTCTTTTTTAATTTGAATAAATATAAAGCCCTCAGAAATGATACTGATGGTTACTAAAATTCAAAAATTTAAAGAAAATATTTCAATAAATCATACTTCATGGATAATTTTAAATTTAAAATTAAATGTGTCTGGATTATTTTAGTATATAAATGTGACATAGTAAAAATTATTATTATGTTTAGAACATTAATTTTTATAGATCAAGAAATAGGCCAGTTAGACTTATCAGTTCATAATTTTGATCCTGGTTGTTCCATGCAACAAAGCTAGAAGGAATTCCCGTTGCTGGTTTCCCCCTGAGGATATCTGGGTGTGGTTTATTTTCTTCTTTGGCTAGAACAAAAATATGCAGGAAAATCTTCTTCGAGGACTAAAATTCCTTGTTCTACAAACAAACTTAAGGAGAAAAAAAAGCAGCAGATCAAAACTAGCTTAATCATTTGCTTATACTGGTGCATACATTGGATTTTTTCCAGGTTAACAAAAATAAAGCCATGGGGAAGATATATGCAGTAGTATATTTAAGCTACCAGCTCACACACATTTTAATGGCTGAAAGTATATAAAAATATGAAGGCGGAAGAAAAACAGTAAGCAGTTATGAAACATAACATGGTTTCTTAGTCTTTATTAGTTTAAAGGAAGCTAGAACCTGATAATAATATGCCACATACAGTTCAGAACCAAACAAAGGCTGCTGAGTTATTTATTTTCCATTTGCTCCTTTTAGGAAGTGAGAAAAAACAGCTCTATTGACATTCAGGTTTATTTTCAATTAAAACCCCCATAAATTATAAAACATCTCATAACACAGGGGAAAAGGAAAGAATATTAATCAGAAAAAACTTCCTTGAGTATGTTTTTTTTTTTTATAGTGCTTTGAACTGTGTGATCAGTCTTATAAGGCCACTCAAAATAATAATTCAACCTCTGTGTTTCTGTCTAGGATAACACATAATAATGGTTTTCCTTCGGTGCAAATAAGAGGAAAAATTTATTCCTACATAGTTTTCAGCAGTGAAAGCACTTGCCCCTCCCCCAAACCCTGCCATTTGCTCATGTCCCACATGAATAAAAAGATGCCACTTAGAAACCAGGGCTTTGCTGCCATTGTATTTTTCTTAATTAGAATTCAGAATATTAAGCACAGTTGAGTACATCCATGCATCCATGACATACCGTTATCGCAAACCGGAAGCTTCAATCAAGAACACTAAGCAAGGCTCATTTCATAACATCATTAACATTCATTGTATGCTGTGGTTCAGAAAGGCTTTGTCAAAGCAGATAATAATAGCCTGTCAGAAAAGCGCAAACAAAAATTTATATTAAATTGTCCTTGCTCTCCTTATTCAGCCTGGGAATCTAGTTGCATTTCCAGTGTGTGGGATCAGCACTTAACTTAAAAGTTTCCAGTTTCTTAAGACTGTAAAATATTACTTGAGTATATTTAAAAAAAAACAGTTCAGTGAGAAGTATTTGAGTAACCAGGTGGGGATAAAGTATTCAAGCACAATGACTGTGTCAAAACAAAAGGTGTTGCAGGAGTTTGAAGGGAGATAGAACTCGTGAGTCACAGGCGGAGTGTTTAATTTGGAACCAGTCAAATAAAAACATTGTTTTCCTTTTCTTAACCACTTTTGATATTCTTTATGTTATAATCTCAGAAAAGAAAGCTCTCTCACTAAAACATTTTTTTCCTTTTCTGCTGAGTGAAAACGCCTAGGGAGACAAACTCTATGCGATGGCTTCCTGAGTGTAGTTCTAAATCTGATGTTATCTGGAGATTGGAGGGTGAGAATTGACTTCTTTACACTCGATATTTTTCTTTGCCTTTCTCATTGATCACGCATATATGCTGAAACAATAAAGAATTTAATAATGCATCAGTTTCTTAACAAAGTATGAGGTGCAGAAAATGTTATACAATAATAACGGACTATCACCTTGTAATTTGTTACTGTTGCTTTAAATATATGTGTATATTTATGTGTGTATATGTGTGCATGTGGAAAATCTAAAAAGAGACTCACTTAAATTCTTGATAAAAATTTCTAAATTGTTTCAGTTTTGAGCCTTTTTCTGAATTTGGCTCCCCAGGTCTGTAACAGCCAGGAATTCTGAGGGAACAGTATGCTTAGCTGGGACAGAGATAGAAGTCTACTGGTAAAGTTACAATCGCCAGGGTGGATGGAGAAATAGCCATAATAAAAATAATATTGACTCTTATTTGACCTTTTTTGGGTATCAAAAATGTGTCATGAATATTTTGATTGTAAGCAACAGAAACGGAGTCAGGCTAGCATAAGCAAAATAGGGGATTTGTTGGTGAGATACTGGGGTAGCTCACAGAAGCAAAGAAAGGGCCGGGCAATGATGGAGCTGGAAGGCAGAAACAGGGGTAGCCCCAGACCTCAGCCCATTGATTACCCCTTGGTCTCTGTAAATTTGGCTTAAGTTTCTAATTCTTAAGAGAGAGAGAGACTAGTTGGTACATTTTGGATAAGATGTCTACTTCTAGATCATTCAGTAATGGACAGGGTCACACAGCTGGGGGGGCCCAGGTCTATATGTTGGTTAGCACATTATCCTGATATGCCAAGGTTGTGGGTTTGATTTCTGGTCAGGGCACATGCAAGAAGCAAGCAATGAATACATAAATAAGTGGAACAACAAATCAATGTCTCTCTGTCTTTCCTCCCCACCCCAAATTGGGAAAAGTTATGAGCTAGCTGCATGTCAGTCTAATTGGACCTGCTCGATTTCAGGCACTGACACAAAACTGTTCACAGAATATTGACTATTACTGTGGGTGGGTGGATATAGTCAATGGCTTGGAGAAAATATTAATAGTTCTGTTTTTAGTTTTCTTATTTCTTTAGTATAAAATAGAGATAACCAAAAAGAAAAAAAAAACAAAAAAGTACACAAAATAAATAAATTAGAGATAATCACAATCGCTTCTATCACCCTAATTCCTAACTTGCAGGGTAGTAGGGGGGGATGAATTGAGTTCATGTGTACAAAATACCCAGAATATTCCTGACATGGAAGCTACTCAATAAATGGCAGCCATCATTACTCCTATTTCACTAGTTTGTTAAATGATGGGTCTGTCAAGTTCTTGTGAATGGGGAGGAGGTAGGGATTTATGTGCAAGACTTACATTGAGATCTCTGAAGTATTCATTGTAATCTAAAGCATAACCCACCACAAATAAGTCTGGAATCTCAAATCCAGCATCTGAGCAAAGAGAATGAGAAAAAAAAAGAATTAAAATTTAGATGACATAAGTATAAAGCCACCATATGTTATTGGTGACACTTCAATGTTAAGGACTTTTCATTTAGGCAGAAGCAATGAGAAAAGTGACGAGCAATGCATAGGATGAACCCAGCAGGAACCTGGACTAGAGTGAGCACTCAGGGAGACAAAGCAAATGGCATACGATGAAGAAGGACTGTACTCCTGGTATCCAGAGGGGAGAAAGGGCACAGGCAGCCCAGTGGAGAGTTGGAAGTGTGTCTGAGTTAGTTATGTAGCCCTGTTGTTCCAAAGGTAGAACGACAAAGGAAACACAAAGTGCTGCTTTCCTTTTAACAGCACAAAATTCAGTTCACACAGAAGGTGTGACAATACTACACTACATGCATAGGTGTGCAGGCTGTTGCAACTGAGAGTCTATCTTCTCATTGTACTCAGTGTCCTTGATGGGATAAAGGGCTTGGAAGCAAAACTTGGAAGGCAATATGAAAGGAAATGGGATGGTTGAGCTTAAGGAAGAGAATGCATGGAGTACACAGTGCAGTACACATGGAGTACACATTAGCTCTTTACCTCTATGAAGGACAGAAGGAGAGGAAATGGATTTAAATGCAGTAGCAGGTACTTAGGTTAAGCAAAAGGAAAATTTATGGACAGGAAGATGATTTTCATTGAAAACAATCCTTAAGACACAGACCACAGCTCTCCTTTTTGAAGGTCTTGAAACAGAATAAATGTGTTTACGGTCAAATAATTTTGAAACTCCTTCTAGTTATTTGGAATCTATGTTTGTTTATCACAGTATTGCAGATGAAGATGTACTTGCTTACTGTTATGAAACTGTACTTCAGTGCAGCCAGTGGAGAGTTACAGTGGCACAGCACAGAGAGAGTTACCTCCATGGTACTGCCCAACACCATTTTGATCCCTATGACCAAAGATGCTTTCACAGGCAGAAACCAACTGGTTTGTGCACACTGGATATGCTAGCAGGGAGAAACTTATTTTCTGGGGGATGCCATTATGTGCCACTGTTAGGAAGCTCACTTGATCCTACAAACTGTAGGTTCTTAAAAAAAATAATTAGGGCAGATGGATGATCGGAAGAAAGGATGTCATTGAGCATAGAGGAAAGAGTCAATTAGGAGAAAGGAACAAAAAGTACAAAGCCTCAGAAATCCGTGAAGAAGGAAGAAACAAAGATTCTGAGCTAGGTAAAAGGATATTAGTAAACCCCAAGAAACCTGGCTGTAACAATAAGAATAACTTCAGAGTGAGCAATGCAAACTCTAGAATAGGCATGGCAACTCAGCCCAGGAGGAGAGGGTTGGGAAAGCCAAACCTGTAGAGCTGTCACAGAATTACAGGAGTACTTGGAGGAGAAGGACGGGAACCAGAGGGACCTATCTCCAGCTGATAAATGGGCACAATTCCCACTCTTCTGTTTGCAATTGCAGATGTGCAAGCACAAGAGCAGTGATCGAAACCAGACTGTCTGGTTTAATACTGACTCGAAACCTAAAGCTATATGAACTTGGCAAGCTGTTTAACTTGGTTATGTTCAAGTTCCTTGTCTGCAAAGTGGGCATAACAATAGCACCTACTTTAAATGTGTTCATCTCTATGTAGCTCTTAGAACAGTGTTGGGGTACATCATAACCTCTTACTATTATTTACTGTTATTTGCTGTTATTACTTTATTAATGTTAGTACAAGTGACACAAAAATTTGTAATTAACTGGATGTCTGAAGTGAATGTCTTATAGTTTCAGTTAAAACTTTTCTATACAGTGTCTTACATTATTTCCTTAGATTTCTGTTTACTAGTCTTGTCTAACTTTAACTACATTCAGATTATATTTTCCGAGCTAGTAACTGGATAGAAACACACTATTTGTGTCTATCTGCCCAGAACTGACATTGTCTAGATTTAATACATCCTGCATAGGAATGAAACTTGTTTTTTAGAAGAGAGTCACTGGCTAAACATCACTGGCACATTACCCATCCATAGAGCATGTTTTTCTTGCTATAATGTTTGTTCAGCTTGCTAATTAGAACTGTAGCCAAATTATCCGAGAAGCTTTAGAGCAAATGTAAGTTATAAAATTCAAGCTGAAGTCTGCTTATGCAAGTGAAAAAAAATCACTTCCAGTGTTAGAATAATAAATAATCAAGCTGCTTGTTTATCCTTCTGCCCTAGATGAGAAGTCTTCCAGAACACATGCTTGAAGACAAGTATAAAGATAGTATCTATAGATATTTGCTCTGTGAATCCCCTGTTATTGTTTTGTTTCTGTGAAGTTATATTTTATTTTATTTTTTAGTTGTTTAATTGAATTATAGTTGACATACAATATTATATTAGTTTCAGGCATACAACATAGTGGTTTGATGTTTTCGTACATTACAAAATGAATAAAATAAGTCTAGTTACTATTTGTCATGATACGAAGTTATTATAATACGGACTATCTTCGCTATGCTGTGCATTTAATTCTTTGTGTTACTGAACTTTAGTTTAGAGGTGGTGGTGAGATTTCCCCTTTTGTGTGCTAAAATCCAGGCTCAGTGAAGGTCAGCATTGTGCATGGTTTGGTGACAGTTCCTGGATATGGAATGAGAATACCTCTAACCCATTACAATACCTCTCCACGTGTGGTTGCTGGGGACAGCGGTGAAAACGGGAGTCCCCTGCGTCTGAGTCAGTCTGGAGAGGTCAAGTCTCCCTCCACCACCTGAAACCTATTATTTGAGGTTTTTGGAGTTAAGGTACTAGGGAAAACCTACAAATCAAAATATTCATGCACACGACTGAGTGCCTGTGAAAGATGGAAATCAGAAAATTTAAGCCCCTGTCGTAAAGAGTTCTAGCTTCACCGGCAAGGCTGAGGAGACCAGGGGGAATTCGTGAGTCTGTCAAACCTATTCAGCTTCCACTTCACGCAGGATGCCGTCAAATAGGAATTTCTTAAACATGAACCACCACCACCAATCAACCCATTAACAAACAAAAACAAAAACCACTTACAGTCAGGTCTAAAGCCATCACTTCTAGGTGTTCTCTTCACCAACAAACTACCATTAAAAAAAAAGTTTTAGTGATCCAAATAAAATCTCTGTGAATTGCAAATTGAATTAAACATTATTAAAATATGTATTTAAAATATGTATTTTTCTCCTCAAGCATATGGGGCATCATCATAGGCCCCCCCACCTCATGTTTCTGCTACTGTGTACCAACTCAGTGATTCTGCATGAAAGCAAGGAAGCAGGCACTGGTACCAGGGCCCCGCCAGCTGCTCCTGGAAACAGCTAGCACATATAGAGGAGCTCAGCCATAGCAAAGCACATCCTCTTCCCTTTCCTCTTTCAGGCCAGCAGTCAAATGGGCTATGTGTATAGTGTGGCCAAACCATAACACCCTGGAGCAAAAGGTCACTGGTTTGGAACAGACTGCACTCTCTGAAAACAGCATCCTGTGTTAGCATCACTCCTGGACTGGTTTGGAAAGACAGAAACAATGATCATGTGTATCCTACTTACCTGGCCACCTTAACCATATTGGGTTTGTATTTCTCTATGTTGCTGAGTAGTGCTTTCATGGTCCTCCCTGTTCCAACAACATCCTTTGCAAAGAGAACAAATTCAACCAAATACATTTGGGCAGCATAATAGATTTTTCATTCAGACAGATAATTATATTTCTTATTAATAATGCATCGTGATTAGAATTGCAATCAACTTGGAATCAAAGCAGGAGACAGAATTAGTTCTATTTTTTAGACAGGTGCTTCCTTTTGGAAGCTGGGTTTAGGAAAATATATTGGTGAGTATTTCCTTGAGTCCTTGAGCTGGGTTGAAGGGCTAAATTCAGCCTTTGGAGAGCATGTGGGGCTCCTCATTGAGTACATTTGGACTTGCTCACACGCATTCAAGGACTACATTTGGCCCTGAGGTTATGTAACAATACAGGACGCATAAATTTTCATGGACATGGGATGTACATCTGAATACACTGAATGGATAAACACCTCCCCCCTTGCCCTCCCCACTCAATTGGGGATTCTATGGCTGGGAAGTGAGATGTGTCTGGACAGCAGCTGGTGACAGCCCTTGAATTCTGAGGGTGCAAGCCTGCAGTGAGCTGAGCCTCATCTCTGCTGATGAGCTGCTACGCAATTAGAGTAGAATGGGCAGCAGAAATTTATTGTCCTCAGGACAGAAATCAGCTGTCAGGGGTTGATTATCAAAACAAGAGGTCTGAATTTAGCCAGAGTTGGGCAATTCATTTGGTTAGAGGGTCTACTTCATGGATTATGTCTGAGCCAGAACTGCAGATACATATGGCACACAGGCAATTGTGTAACAAAGGCGTGAAAACAGCTCCCCTGAATTTGTGCCAGCTGATAAGGCAGGTGTGCTCTTGAAGGAAACATGGACATTTGCTGTGTGAGTCCACTGCTGCCACGGGGCCTGTTTTTTCTTTCTCTTTCTCCCTCCCTCCATCCTTTCCTTTCTTCTCTCTTTCTTTCTCCCTTCCTTCCTTTCTCCCTCTCTTCCTTCCTTTTTAAACAGAACCAATTAAATCAATTCATAGCTTTCCTTTGGACTGCCATTTTTTAAATTGATTATGATTTGGATGCTGAAGGCAAAATTGCTTAAAGTCATTAGAGTTCATTAGAAAGAACATTGAATTAAGGGTGAAGTGAGTTCTAACCTCGGCTTAACTATTAAATACATTTGGCTCTGTGGGTTAGTTTTCTCTTCTGTAAAAATGTCTGATTCACAAATAGGGATAATAACCAATTTGGACATGTGTGAAATTAAATATTTAAAAGCTTTTTCGTTTAGTTTTTTCAAGTCAGTGATCCTAGCTGGCTCCTGGTCAATAAATTTGGAGAGCTGTGTGCACAGAGAAAATTCAGTAAATCCTTGGCTTATTAGATAAAAAGTTCTTTATTTTACAACTCATCGTTCATCCTTTTGACGTCCAAATATGGATTAAAAAGTTTACCTCAACAATGGCTTACCTCAACAATGAGGACATTCTGAAAAACAAAACAGAACAAAACAATACAAAAAACACCAGTTATTTAGAATCGAATGCAAATCTGGCTCACAAGTTAAACACACATTTTGCTTACAGTTGAAATTTTGCGATTTATTTATTTGGTCCCCCCACCATCCATCTAACCCAAATAAATGCTTAGCGGTAATCTATGTGTTCCAGACTCATTTTAACAGACTCTGGAATTACTTGGTGCTTCAATATTTATTAATATCTATATTCAGGTTAAGAGCAGGCTTATTTTCAACCCAGTTGCCTGTCTGAAGAGCTATCCATACTCATTCCACCTTCATAATTCTGGCAAGTGCCCCACCCAGCATTCTCTGGGGTACAAAGCTTACTTTGCATTTTCAAGGAAAACAAAGCCAACATGAACTGCATTGCTAGTGGAGAGCGTATTCTGTAGAGGTGTTATGTATTCAGATGGGACAGCCCTATTCCTGCGGAGCCATCAACATCAGTGGGGATTCTGTACTTTCAAATTCTCAACCCTGAAGAAGGGGGGTGGGATAGATAGGTGCCTAGTTTATATTTTCAGAGACATGGTTAGATTCCTTGCCCTGTGCTCTTAAGATATTATTCACTGCCTTCTCTCCTAAGAACACTGGTTATGCTTCACGTAAATTTCTTGTTTGATACCTGTCTTCCTCACTAGAGTATAAAGTCCACAAGGGTGAGAGTCATGTTTAAGTTGCTTATTACTGTATTCTCAGTCGTGGACATAAATACCTGTGTATAGGTAGTAAGTAATTATTTGCTGAATTAAGGAATAATAACTAATTATACTTATTAACAAGTTAAAATCAACCAATTAAATGGATTAGTAGTTACATGTCAATACTGTCTCACCAAATTAAAATATGACTGTGTTAATATGCCATTCCAATTAACTTAATGGTGTGGATATTCCCTCAGTGTAATGGTTTCTTTCTCTAGATGACTTTTCATTTACCCCAAGGATTCATATAATAGTTTAAAAAATTGGATCAAGCCTTACACCTTAGGTATCTTACTTATAGCTAATGCAAAAGAGATTTAAGTGAGAAAAATGTTAACCAACCAATAAAAACTGTTAAATTTGCACCATATGACTTTATGTGTCAAAAGCATTTTGAGGTGAAATTCTCTCTGGAAATGTTTTTCTCTCAGGTATATGGTATTTGTTCATTAAATCTGTTTTTAAAACTCTTAATTTTACCATTAAAATGTAAGATAATTTTGTCGATGTTTAAAGTAGGACATGTTCCGAGTATGCTCTCTGCCCTGAAAATCACACTGCCAGAGGAGTCCCCTTGGCATTCTAAGCACATTCTCTCTGTCTTAACCACCAATACATAACAGTTATTTAAGATGCACAGTTTTAGTTTAATCGAGACTTACCAACTGTGTCTATTAACCAACCAGAATACTTGAAGAATACTTGGTTAATTTAATTTCCTAGTTCACAGTCTCTTTTTGTTTTAATTTGATAGTGAATAACCTTTCTAAACTCTGTTAGTTTGCATTCTTGCCTAATTAAGTAAAGTGGACTGAATGTGATTAAATCTGTTTTTTGGAAGTTCAGAACATTGCAAAACAAAAGTCATCTTTGAAAAGATTAGTTTCAACCATAAGATATAGTGGTGGCTGGAAAGTGAGCTTGGATGTGTCCTAATCCAGAGATATATTGTCAAAATAACTTAAACGCATTTTAAAATTCAGATAATACATACACGTGCTCAAAACCAAATAGGAAAGTCTGTTTTTTAATGTTGATGGGTCCCTGTTTAAAATACTTTAAATGCTTATGTACTTTAAAGTACATTAAAGTTATCATGATAGCCTTTATTATGCATAGCTAAATATTATCATATTTAATGAAAATGGCAATTTCTTAATATCATATAAACCTTAGTACATATTTAAATTTCCCAGTTGTCACAAAAATAGACTTTGTTGCTTGTTTGTCAATCTAAGACCATGCATTGGATTTTTAAGTCTCTTTTAATTTAGAATACTCTCTTTTTCTGTACTTCTATTTCTCACTTTAATAATTTTAGACATCACCTATTTACTATATTATATAATAGATGAGAATTTAGTTCTCTCACACTAACTCACTTCCTTTCCCCAATCCCCCAATGCAAGTTACCTTGTTATGACCATTTTCCTTTAAAAAAAAAATTTAAATGCTTACCTGAAGACATATTTTCATTGCTTTTTGTTTTTTAATTTTTAAAAGATTTTATTTATTTATTTTTAGAGAGAGGAGCGGGGGGGCGGGGGGAAGAAAGGGACAGAAGCATTGGTGTGTGAGCAGTTGCCTTTCATATGCTCCCAACTGGGGACCCAACTTGCAACCAAGGCCTGTGCCCTGACAGAATCAAACTGTTGACTTTTGCGTTTGCAGGCTGGCACTCAACCCACTGAGCCATGCCAGTCAGGGCTTTCATTGCTTTTTAGAGAGAGAGGAAGGGAGACAGAGAAGCTGGACCTGGGATCATATGCACCTATACTGGGGATCTGCAACTTAGGTATGTGCCCTGACTGGGAATCAAACCCTCAACCTTTCGGTTATGGGATGATACTCCAGCCAACTAACTGAGCCACACCAGCCAGGGCATGACTCTTTTTGTGCTGCTAACATTTTTCCCAATAAAGAGTCAAGCAGTGTACTATAATTATATCTCCTTTTAGACCTCGTTTATACTTTTCTTAGAATTCTTAATTGTTTTTTCTATCATCTTCCAGTGTTTTATGCTGAAACAATTCTCTATTTTTTTTTTAAGCAAGCTTTTCTTTCTTGGAAGGATTATTATGAGGAAACATTGGTTAGTTATGGTTTAACTATATTTCTTGGAGGATTTTGGAGGATTAAGGGATGGGTTGATGATATCTGTAACAATACAAAGCTCCCTCTCTTATATACCATATTGTACAGTATTAAAAAGTAAAATTATTTGGTGGGTTCATAAATGAAGGGCAGGCAATGCTGATTCAGGCAGACAGACTGCATTTGAAAAGGAACTATGGAAATATCTTGAGTCATTTAATGAGACATAGAGCAGTCATTACATATATACTTATTTTCCCTTATAGATCATCATACTATGTTTTCAAATTCTTTCATTAGTAATATATGCCACACTATCTGGATTTTTCAGTGGCCCACATGTTATGTGAAAGCTCACCTGTAACCAAAGCAATGCCTTTCGCCCCTTTGGAAGCTTGACTCTGTCATTTGAAACAAGAATAGCCCCAGAGGAAAGGGAAAGCAGCTACTCCAAATTGGAAGCATTTTCACAAGTGTCTTAAAGAACTAATCTCTTTACATTTTCATGCACCACGATTAACACCAAAAGACAAGGAACAAAGACTAACTCATCTTTAAACAATCGATATATAACATGGAGACAGGTATACACTACTTGCTCAGGAAATGCCTGTGGGACAAATCAACAATTTTGAGCCAACTTTTTCACTTTCTCTAGTTCATTATGATACATTTGATTCATTTTTTCCTTAATGATGTACAACTTCTCCTTAATTGAGCTATACTCAATGTCTACTGCTCTTAATTTGGCTCTCAGAAATCTCCTAAAATTCTTTCTCTCTTTTTTTTTTGAGTGGGCAGCCTTGGAAATATCTTCAGAACACATTGTGCCTCTTGAACGCTTGCAATCTGATAACTGTGATCACTGAATCTGAGATGTTCGCCAGCTTCTGTCTTAGTCATCTCACTACACCTAGCTCATTTCCTCCCAGAAAGCCGGTAAAATCTGCAGCTTGGGGGCCACTGGCAAAATTCTACGAGGAATCTCTGAAGTGTGTTCTTTCTGTGCTATTGCACATCCTAATTGAATCTTATCACATCAAGCTTACTAAAGAAAAAGAAGGAGAAGGAAAGAATTACATAAATCTAAATAGTTTTCTTAAATAAGTTATTCCTTCTTTTACTCTTTCAAACTGCAAAATGATTAGTGTACCACAGTCTAATTCTCAGCAGTGCAGTTTTTTTGGCTGTGGTCACACCAAGCAGAGGGATGGCAGTAGGGTGAGGAGCTAATTGTGGATGTGGAGCATGAGTAGGAGTGCAAATATAAACCCCATGGAGCAAGGAATGTAGTATAGCATTTCATTTTATGTAATAATTCACAAAATTGCCAGAATCACCAGTTGTTGGGCATTTCCATTATTTTTCTCAGCCTAGTCAGATGCAATAAGAAGGAATGATTTCAAGAGTAAAGGCAGCCAAGTAGGAAATTTTGGCAAGTTCCAATGTTTCATTCTGGCATTTCATTAGAAACTTATTTGGGGGCAGAGGGGCATGTCTCCCGAATCTTGCACATCTGTGTTTTCTTGTTGCCAGGTTTGAGCTTGTTCCCATGCATTTGGTTTTATTTCATCCTTTCCGAGATTTCACTTGAACATGAATAAAATCTTCTTGCTTTACACAAATTTTATGAAGTGCCAGGATTAAATCAACTTTGAAAAAAATCAGCCAGGAGCATGGTGCAGAGACAGTTTAAACTCACTGAGCAAAATGCTTTTAACATTGTGAACGAAGAGGCCATTTAACTTCATCACTGAGGGCTCCCTTTATTCAACAGCCATGACCTATTTAGAACCATGACTAAGCCAGCCTCCCTTGTGAGCTTGTCTCTCCTTGCTTCCAAAAAAAGGAAAGAAAGAAAGAAAGAAAGAAAGAAAGAAAGAAAGAAAGAAAGAAAGAAAGAAAGAAAGAAAGAAAAGAAAGAAAAGGCAGGATGGAAGAAAGAAAGGTGTGTGCATGGGGGCTGTCTAGGCTATCCCTCTTCTAAATCTTTTACCTGACATGCCTTTAAGAGGGTTTAAGAGTTACATAGGGAAGTTTGGGGCTTATAATACCTCTAACTCATAGCATAGAAAATTATACAGGTAAGCTATTTTCCCATGTTTCTAAAAGTTCTCTCATAAACAAATTTGAAAACTTCCTGCCTTCATTTAATCATTTAACTCTGTGCTCCTTGGAGGACACTACTCCTTTGCTCATGTAGGTCAATTACACACCAAGGTTTGCTCCACACACATCCCTCCTGGCTGGCCTCTCTACTTGCAGTTTCTCTCCCTTCCTTCTGTCAGTTCTACCCTCCTGCCAGGTTCATTTCCCCAAAACACAGCTTCATGATGTCACCTCTGCTCAACAATTTTTGTGGCTCCTCTTTGCTTTTCTGAGCAAGTCAAATGAATTTCTCTTTGTTGAAAAATTCAGTATATTTTACAGACCAAATGCAATTCACACGTTCAGCGTTTAAAATCATTATTTTTCTATTTCTGACTAATTTCCTTTTAGTCATGTGGTCCTCTGGCTCTGTTATCTCTCCCTTCATTCCATGGTGTTCTTCTTCCCTCTTCTGCGTTATTCCCAGACCTTCTGGCCCCAAGGGAAACCTCATCCTCTTCTCACTAAGGCAATGACAGCCCCAAGGAATCATTCCATCTTTGGATTTCTTTAAGGTCAAGAAAAGAGTATTGTGTAGAGAGTGTGTGCTCATTTTAGACAGAGAGTCAGAGAAGGCAGTCCTTTAGGCTGAGACCTGAAGGCTAGGAAGAGAGTGGGTTCCAGGTGGAAACCACAGTTTGTCCAAGGTCTTGGCAGAAAGGTGCTTAGCCAGTGTGGTTATAGCACTGTGAGGAGGTTGGATGGCATTTCAGTGGCATTTGATGATGTTGGAAAGGCGATGAGGCCAGATCACACAGGTTTTGCAAGCAGCTGTAAGGAGTTTGGATTATAATGTTGAGCACTGGTTATGGGGCTGACAGGTAAAATACAGAACACAGTTACGTTTGAATTTCAAATGAATAACTATTAGCTTTTTATTTTAGGTATGTTCCAAATACTGCATGGGACATACTTACACTAAAAATGTTTTCACACTTTATTTGAAAATCAAATTTAACTTGGTATTCTGTTTTTTTATTGTTTTTGCCAAGTCCGATAACCCTGACTGAGAGGCTGCTGAGAGGTTTTTGGTAGGCAAGTGATGTGATCCAATTTGTATTTTAAGAAGATCCCCCTGACTGCTTTGAGGAAAATGGTCTGAAGGGTGGCAGAAGTTAAATAAAGGCTAGAGTTCAGGGAGATGAGTCAGTCTAACATAGCAACCCAGAGGAGGGATGGCGGTGGCCTCACCCTAGAATACCAGTGCTTCTAAAACCCTCAAGTCCATAGGAATCCTCTAAGGATCTTGCTAAAATGAACTTAATTCAGAAGATCTGGGGAGGGATTTGAGATACTACATTTCTATTAAGCTTCTAGATGGCATTGGCCTTGTTAGTTCCTAGATCAAAGGTTGGCAAACTGTGACCCACTGACCAAATCTGGCCTGCTGTAAATAAAATTGTATTGAAATATGGCCACTTGTGTCCATGTTATCTATGGCTGCTTTCATGCTATGATGGCAGAGTTGAGCAGTTGTCACAGACACCATATGCCCCACAAAACCTAAAAGACTTACTATCTGGTCCTTTACTGAAAAGTTTGCTGACTCCTTTGAGTACCAAAGGTCTAGACTGGGGAGATAACCAAGGAGATGAAGAGAAGTAGGCAGATTCAAGATATAGCTGAAGGCACAGAGTGCGGTCTACACTGGCATATTCAGCATTCCCCTCTGATGTGAGCCTAGGCACCGTGAACTGCAGGAGCTTTAATCTTAAGCTGTTGTGACAGTTGAGAACCTGGCTAATCAATGTTGGTTCATCTTGGAAATATTAACCCAGTGTGTTCTAAGCCCAAGAGATCTTACTTGGCACATGTTGAAACATATATAGAAAGGCATCTCTGTACACATGGAGAGTGTAAAGATATCACAGAACAGTACCTGGTAACCTAAAAGAATCATTTGTCATGCTAACAAAAGTTAAAGCTGACTCCTGTCATTCTCACTGCTGGCTGGTTTTCCATCTCTCCTATCTAAACTTCCATGATCTCTTATGGAACTTCCATGATCTTCCATGATCTCTTTCTTATGGTAGTGGTGAAGGGTCTTTGTAGTAGTTATAGAAGGGGATACTGAGGCACAGTGCTGTCAGCCCTTCTGCTCACTCTCCTCCCAGTAAGAAAGTACCCTTTCCTTGACCTCCTTTCTACCTCTTAGAGGAAGGGACTATCCACTGCTCACCTAAGAGGGTAATCATTCTAAAAGGAAACAGATGATTTTAGAAGGAGGAACAGAAGGACCACCTCTTTATGTGCAGTTTTTTTCATGGAGGCATTCATTTGGGATTCTCAGAGTTGCTGTTCTGACAGGCCCATGGTAAAAGCACAAGGTATATTCCTCTTGTGTAATAAGCCTGTAAAAGGCAACGTCACACAACAAAGTACTAAAATGTCTTCTCATGTTAGTTGTTCAGTAGACTTATTGTGGTGATCATAATATATATACAAATATTGAATCATTATGTTGTACCTCTGCAACTAATATAATGGTATATGTCAATTGTATCTCAATTTTAAGAATGTGCATTAACTTAGAATACAGTTGCTGTTCATAAACCTAATAACCTGAGCTTTGACTTCAGATCTTGGGAGAAAAAAGTACAGTCATAATATTAGTTTGGTATGATGATTTAAGTTACGTTTGCCTCATCTTTTCCTAAATAAAGGCAGTACTTCTTATTCAACTAACATTTGCATATAAAAACATAAAACTGATGTAGCATAATATTGAGCTGTGTTCAGTATCACTTGCCAACTTTTGGCCTTCAGGAATACTGATGATATATTTCCACAGTGTTACAGGCTGCAACATACCTTTATTTTTGATTTGTAGTTCTCCATTTCACAAAAATGTAATGTTTAAGTTGGGTGATATGATATCATACATGTCAATTAAACATATTGCTACAGACATACACATACATGCACTGATACATGATAGAGATTCTGAACTATGTGTAGATTTTTGAATATTGATAAAATGATACATTTCATAGAGATAAAATAAAGGTAAGTTAAAAGATAAAAAAATAAAATGACATCATTTAAAGACCACTTCAAGGGTTTTAAGAATTATGACTTTATGGAAATTGCTTGGAGTATTCTAGTTTTCTAGGATGTTATTCTATGCACTGAAGTAGTAACATCAAATGGTGGCCTAGTAATACATTAACAAGTTAATTTCAATTTCTATGGAACATAATTTACTGCTAGATAGTAATTTAACACTTGGATGCCACTATGCAGCCTTCAGAGTTTGGGGAAGTAAGCTGTTTTATAGAGAGAGTCCTTGTGGCATTGGAGTGTCCCTTGTGTTATTATTCATCTTTTTATTAAACGTGACTGGTGCTCCTATTCACAATCCAGGTGTTGCACAACAATAACAACCACAAATATGAGAGATTAAGCTTTTGTAACAGACTGGGCCATTTTATTTAGAAAGCTGAAGCTGTTCCGAGACAGTGAATACAGGATATGTCAGTAGAGCTGAACAAAAACAAATTCTGCATTGCTTTCATTTACAGCAAAACTTTAGTTTCAGGTCACATTGCCACAAAGAGTGCCTGCTTTATGAAACAGCTCCTCCTGATGTATACATGTATGTCAGAATTCAAACACTTTTTTTACTTGATTACTAAGTATTGGTGAGTTTTGGAATTCCATATTAAAATTGAAGGTGTTTCCCTTATCATCTAATGGGTTAGATCATTTTAATAGGGGAAAAAAGGCAAATGGCTGAAAAATGGGTTGTCATAAAAAATCTTTTTTATTCTCTGCCCAAATTTTATACATTTCACCAAACCTGTTTATTAAATGTTTTACTGAAGTGCCTGGGTTCTTAGGCATGGATGAGAGACATAAAACAGACAAGTAAAAGGAAAAGGAGGAAAACGTCCTTTTCAGGAGGTACCTGAAAGGGTGAGTAGAAAACAAAGAGCAAGGAGAGCCAAGGGGGTTTGTAATACGAGGTTGTCTGAAGTGAGATTGGAAGGAAGCTCACAGATGAGAGATACGGTCTGCATCATGTCCAGGAAGCATTATAAAAGGAGTGTTTTATAAAGGAGAAATCGTTCAAAGAGTTCACACATCCATCTGCATGAATTAGCAAACCCTGGAGAGTGTCTGAAATGTATTGCAAGTGCTGACCTGACATGAAGGTCACTGATCTCCCCATAACATCAGACATCAGTGTGAACTGAACAGAGTTACATTTACAAACCTTTCCAGCCAGCGATGAAAGATCATAGCCTCCAATGATCTGCATCTCGCCCATGGACTGGTCATTCTGAAAAAAGAGAAGCCAATATTTTACTGTATAGGAAAGCCCATAGAACACATTTTTCCATCCACCCAGCTAGTGGCTAGATTGCGCCTTACAAACAGTAGTATAGCACAAATAGCTAGTGCAGGTTCGTGGTTGCCTATGGTTACCAATAGCCACTTGCTGCTGCTGTGCTTGAGACAAATCATTCTAATGGTTGAGAGAGAGACCATGGAGAGAGGGGATGGAAGGAGTGGGAGAGGACACACAAACCTAATTTTGGAACAAAAATCTGGAAGGTGCCACAGACTCTCCTGAGGCTGATGGAATTGGAGATGACAGTCATAACCCCAGAATTTCCTGGGGTGGAGGGGGCCATGGGAGCCCCAGGAGTGGGCCAAGCATTTGCCAACTGTGCCAACATGTCACGGTCGTAGCTCTGCAGTGGGGAACAATTAGATTGTGGTTCCCAAAGCAATTAGAGGCCTCCTCCACTCCCTACTAGTGTGGGTCCTTTCCCTCAGCTGATGTCGAGGGCAATTCTAACAGGCCATGGATCAAGAACTACCACACTGAGACCTTCAGACATGATGACAAAGCCACAGGAACCTACTGCAGTCCCAGGAAAATGAGACCCAGAGCCCTCTGTAGATGACTTTTCACTCAAATCCCATAAGAGATTATGAGCATTTGCTTTCGCAGTGTTTATGTGTGGTACATCATCCTGTCCTCATTAAACTCATGCATGCACAATAACCAAATATGGATTGTTACTTAGTGAATATCAAATAGAATAACATGGGGGAAAAACAGGAAACAGAAAACAAGTTGTTTTCTAGCCTCATTATGGAGACACATTCAAGGAACTGAAGCAGATATCCTACAGACAATCGGCTCTGTGACCAAGCAAAACTGCTGTAATGTTGCAACCTTCTGATGCAAACAATAACCGAAGGGAGCAGATGATGATGTAGGCACAAAGTGTACACGTTCCAAAGTGTGGAACGAAGGCCCCGCCTCTTTCTGGGGGGAGTTCATTCCATATGGATCAGATGAGACTAGGCCTTAACCATGCAAACCAGTATGCCTGAAGATATATCCAACCCTGAACTTTCCACCTACAGAAGCCAATTCGTTTCCTTAGGAATGTTCTTGGGTTGGTTTGAATCAGATTTTGTCACTTGAAAGTGAGTGCTGATCTAGACATGGACTTACTTTGTCATAGAATTGGTCTTCTGGGAAGGGAAGAAATAGCCAAACAACCAATATATAACAGTGTTACCAATGAAACAGGTTTTTGTCTTTTTATTTCTTTGATCAGGAGAAAAAATAAATGATCTTAAAATGTTTTCATTTCTGCTTGGTGAAGCATTCACTCCTTACTGCAAGGAAGTGGAGAGAGTGCTTGAAAGTGGCCCACTAAGTTGGATAACATCAATAATTTTCATCTTATGAGAACAGGTCACAAAAGGAGAAAATCAAAGAATACCTAGAATTCCCAGATCTTTTCTGTTTTTGTACAGGTGTATATAAGCATATATCCACAAGCAGTCATGTCAATAGGTCAAGAACTTGTCAAATATGTCAAAGGAGAAAGTTTTCTAGAGGTGTGCTGAGATATAGGAGTTGATATAGGAATTACGAATTATCATAGTAGTTAACATAAGGAAAATTTTTGCATATTAGGTTCAAATATGTTCTTAATAGCAGGAGGAAAAATAAGATTTCAGTGCCTCCAGAGGAATGAGTTATGCAGAACTGGATACAACCATTAAACCACAAAGTTTATTATAACAAATTAGATTTGTACTTTGCCAGATCACAGTATATTTCACAATACTTCCATCATCATCTCTATTCTATTGATTCAAAACAAAAAGCACCCAATACATCAGAAAGCTAAATAATGTGCTCTAAGTTACACAGTAGTGTATTGCCAAGCAAGTCTTATTTCAGAAGGTTTTACTTAGTCCAAGTTTATAACATGTTCTTAATATTAGATTTGTCCTTAATTCTTCTGTACCTTATATCTTCCAAGTATGTATATAGTCAATTGTCCTCATAACATTTATTGAATCATTTACTTTTTCCCTACTGGTTTGTACTGTCATTAGTTTTGATTTGATAATATTTTATTTGGGACTGTTCATCTTATTTTCATAACATTGGCCTACAGTTTTAAAGCAAAGTGGTATTGGCCTCATATTATGAGTAGAGTGGTTATTTATATATATTTCTGTTTTTTAAATTTTATTTTTTAATTATAGTCAACATTCAATATTATTCTGTATTAACTTACAAAGTGATCCCCCTGATTCAGGTACCTGCCTGGCACCACACTTAGTTATTACAATATTATTGACCTCAGTCTCTATGCTGAGCTTCATATCCCTGTGATTATTTTGTAACTGCCAATCTGTACTATTCATCCCTTCTATTTTTTCATCCTATGTGCAAACTCCCTTCCACTCTGGTAACTATCAGCCTGTCCTCTGAATCTATGAGTATGTTTCTATAGTGTTTGCTTGTTTTGTTCTTTAGGTTTCACATACAAATAAAATCATGTGGTATTTGTCTTTCTCTGTCTGACTTATTTCACTTAGCATAATACTCTCTAGGTCTATCCATTGTGTCATAAAAGCTAAGATTTCATTATTCTTATGGCTAGGTAATATTGCATTGTATATATGTACCACTACATTTTTATCCACGTGTCTAATGGGCACTAGGGTTGCTTCCGTATCACAGCTATTGCAAATAATGCTGCAATGAACATAGGAGTGCATATTTCCTTTTGGATTAGTGTTTTGATTTTTTTTTGGACATATACCCAGAAGTGGAACTGATGGGTCATAAGGCAGTTCCATTTTTAATTTTTTGAGGACCCTCCATACTGTTTTCCATACTGGCTGCACCAATCTGCATTCCCCCTAACAGTGCGCGAGTGTTTCCCTTTCTCCACATTCTTGCCAGCACTTGCTGTTTATTGATTTATTGATGATGGTCATTCTGACAGGTGTGAGGTGGTATCTTCTTGTGGTTTTAATTTGCATTTCTCTGGTGATTAGTGACACTGAGCATCTTTTCATATATCTACTGGCCATCTTTATGTCCTCTTTGGAGGTGAGTATTTAGGTCCTCTGTCTGTGTTTATTTGGATTGTTAGGGGTTTTCTTTTGGTGTTGAGTTGTATGAGTCTTCTATAAATTTTGGATATTAACGCCTTATCAGATGTATCATTGGTAAATATTTTCTGACAACCATTAAGTAGGCTGTCTTTTCATTTTGTTGATGGTTTTCTTCGCTGTACAAAAACTTTTTAGTTTGATGTAGTCATATTTGTTTATTTTTCTTTTGTTTTCTTTGCCTGAGATATATCAGAAAAAATACTGCTGAGAGAAATGTAAGAGAGTTTACTGGCTATGTTTTCTTCTAAAACTTTTATGATTTCAAGCCTTATATTTAAGTCTTTAATTCACTTTGAGTTTATTCTTGTGCACGGCATAAGAAACTAGTTTCAATTTTTTCACATATCCATCTAATTTTGCCAACACCACTTGTTGAATAAACTTTCTTTACTCTATTGCATGTTCTTTGCCTCCTTTGTCATATATCAGTTGACCATATAGACATGGGTTTATTTCTGAGCTCTCTATTCTTACCCAAATAGACCTCTTCTGAATAGATAAGAATACTGTGGCTAAAACTTCCAGTACTATGTTGAATAAGAGTTGTGAAAGTGGACATCCTTGTCTTGTTTCTGATCTTAAGGAAACCACTTACAGCTTTTCTCTATTGAGTATGATGTTAGCTGTAGGTTTGCTATATATGGCCTTTATTATGTTGAGGTATGTTCCCTCTATTCCACCATCGCTGAGAGTTTTTTAAACCATAAATGGGGGCTGGATTTTGTCAAATGCTTTTTCTGCATCTATTAAAATGATCATTTGATTTTTATCCTTCATTTTGTTTATGTGGTATACCATGTTAATTGAATGCAGGTATTGAATCAAACTTGCATCCCAGGAACAAATCCTAGTTGATCACAGTGTATGATCTTATTGATGTACTGCTGGATTCATTTGCTAATATTTTGTTGAGGATTTTTACATCTATGTTCATAAGGAATATTGGCCTATAATTTTCTTTTTGTGTAATGTCTTTGTCGGATTTTGGAATCATGATAATGGACTTATAAATGAATTTGGGAGCCTTTCTTCCTCTTGAATTTTTTTGGAATAGTTTGAGAATAGGTGTTAATTCTTCTTTGAATGTTTGGGAAAATTCACCTGTGAAGCCATCCATTCCAGGACTTTTTTTTGTTGGGAGTTATTTGATTACTGAATGAATTTTCTTGGTTGTGATTGGTCTGTTCACATTTTCTCTTTCTTCTTGATTCGATCTTGGAAGGTTGTATGTTTCTAGGAATTTATCTTATTGGCATATAATTGTTCATATAAGTATTTTCTTATAATCCTTTGTATTTCTTTGGTGTCATTCATCACTTCTCTTTCATTTTTGATTATATTTATTTAGGTCCTCTCTCTTTTTTTCTAGATGAGTCTGATTAAAGGTTTGTCTGTTGGTTTGTCCCTTTATCATTATGTATCATTATGTATCATTTATCTTTTTAAAGTACTAGCTCTTGGTTTCATTGATCTCTTGTATTGTTTTTTTAGACTCTTTATTTCTAGTCTGATTTCATTATTGTTTTCTTTCTTCTACTCACTTTGGGCTTTATTTGCTGTTCTTTTTCTAGTTCCTTCACGTGTAAGGTTAGATTGTTTAGTTGAGATTTTTCCTCTTCTTGAGGCAGGCCTATATTACTATAAATTTCCCTCTTAGGACTGCTTTTGTTGTGTCTCATACATTTTGGGTTGTTCTGTTTTCATTTTCACTCAAGGTGTTTCATTTGTCTCAAGGTATGTTTTGATTTCTTCCTTAATCTCATTGTTAACCCATTCATTGTTTTGTAAGATGTTATTTAGCATCCATATGTTTCTGTGTTTTCTTTTTTTTTCCTG